CGCCTCACAAGTGCAGAGAGCTGTGAGGTTTGTACAGTTGTTGGAAAAGGAATGACCATTTTTCTGCCCTTTCTCAGAGAGCTGAATGACAGTTTTTCTCCCTAAAGTCAAACTTCGGACAAGCGCTTTCATAAATGCTTGATGTCACTTGTGTGAACACTGACCTATTCACATACTTTATATTAAGGCCATACATAAGCTATGCTAAACTGTGGGTTTATTCAGTATGTACCACAGTGCAAGGTCACTAGTTTTCCAGAGACAAAGGAGGACTCTTAAAATGTGTGAAGAAAAGCTAACAAATAAAGCAGAGAGAGTAAGCCTTTAAAAATAACATTTCAGTCCTTGTAAAAGATCAGTACCCTGTAAATGTGTTTGCCGTTATAATATTTCTGCAGACATGTACACTGCAAAAAGACATATTTTACAATAGTTTTAAGGCTTTTTTCTACATTTCATTAATGCACTGTGAAAATGTGTGTCATTGTGTAAAATATCATTAGATTATAGTTCTCTGTCTTTTGTAGGTAGCTATTTTGAAAGTACTGCCAGAAACACACAGCACTCCCACAAATTGCCTTTTTTAAACTAAAGAACAGCTTTACAGATTCCCTTGACACCTATTAAGTATGAGCTAATACTGCCTCCAAGCCACCTACACACCATCTCAGCATCCATTCCATAGTTTTGAACGTCTGTACTTCTACATCCTACACCTTTTCTGTAAAAAAAAAAAGAAAGAAAAAAAAAGAAGAAGAAGGAGAGAAAGAACAGCTCCCTCCCATCCTTCCTCCCAGGAAAAAAAAAGGAGGCCTGTAGCAGTAATTGAAACTTTGGTAGTCATCAATGACAATTTTACTTAATCTTTAAAAAATGTGTCATTTTGAAAAATAACATTTAAAACCCTAATGCTTTTCTAATTAAAATAACTATGACTGTAATTCACAGATGGTTTACTTTTACAGGAGTCTGAATGACATTAAAATTTCAGACTCAGATGAGAGCACTTTGTAGTCCAGAAAGCATTGAGAAGTGAGTGCTTTAGTGGAAGAACATTTTAACCTTTTTTTCCCCTGGCAAGCAGAAAACATTTTGTGATTAGAGAAAAGACCAGAATGAAGACAGGTGGCAGCCTCAAAAACTATTTTGATATCTGGCATATGAAATTCCAACATTTTTCAGCATTATTGCTGTCACTGAACACCAGAACTGTGCAGAGGGCAGTGAGGCTAGCTTGTTTTCAGTCAGCTTTAGAGGGTATCAAATTTAGTTCAAAGACTGAGAACACAGATCTCCAGCCATACTAACACAGTCTAAATGTGTTATAGCAGTTTCTTCTGTACATGCTTCTGTCTAGAGCTCTGCTCTCAATAGACCTGGCACATGATGTAAAATCTATAAATAGCTTTGATCCGAATGTAAAAATGAATTTGTATTGACATTTTGTATTCCTTCATTCACTTAAAAATTGTAGCAGGCTTCTACTAATGAAGTTCATAGCATAAGTGATGCCACAATAACTCCGTTTCTATTGTTCCTAGGGTGCAGGTCGGGAGAAAAGAGCGCTAATGCTTTGCATGTCCCCTAGCTAGCTTTGTGACTCCACAATGCCAGACACTTGTAGCTAAACTGACCATAAGCTTGAGCAATTGTCTTGACTGTTATTTTGTGACTGCACCCTGCAAAATAAATTGCAACTCAATGTTTAGTTAAGTTACACATTGGAAATATAGCTTAGATGTGACCAGTGTGTTAATTATGAGACTAAGCGAGAATGGGGTTGTTAATTTTGCCACGGGCATTGCTGGTAATCAGGGCTTTTTTAAGGTTTCAAAATGTAACTTTCCATCCTCTTTTCTACTGTCAAAGTACCATAATATTGCCCTAGTAGAGAATAATGTTTTAGAGACTTCCAGTGAGGAAGTAAGGGGAGAAACAAGCCTTTTGAGGAAGGGA